TATATATATATATATATATATATATATATATATATATATATATATATATATATATATATATATATATATATATATATATATATATATATGTATGTATGTACATATATATATATATATATATATATATATATATATATATATATATATATATATATATATATATATATATATATATATATATATATATATATATATATATATATATATATATATATATATATATATATGTATATATATATATATATATATCAGAGGTGTACATTCATTTTGCAAAGGGCGACTAAAAATATTCCTTTGATGCAATAAAGTGGCTCAAAAGGGTGACTTTATTTTTATTCGCAGTTTTAGCTTCTTTTTTTAAATTTAAAAATTATATAAAAAAAAAGTAACCAAAATAAAAATAAAACTAATAAAAATAATCTACAATAATAATAAAGCCACAGTGCCAAAGTTTGTTTTCTGCATTTTCTATTATTACTTAGATCATAAGAAAATTATAGAAGCATTTGAACGTATTTAAAAAAATAGTTCCTAAATAAAAACTAAAAATTTTTATTGCTAAGCAAAAATACAATTTTATTACAAATTTTGATAAAGGATTTAAGGATTTAGAGATAAAGTAATAAAACTAAACATGTCAAAAAAAAATACTTCGACAAGGCCTTGTTAAGCAGTATTACGCTTTTATATATTTTTAGGTACTGTTTAATAGAACTATTACTACTTCTAAACAAAAAATTAGTAGGACTGTGAGCACTAGTACGGTTTACGTTTGCAAATATCTTATTGGCAACTGATAAAATCTATCTATAAATTATACCTAAAAACTATTTATATTTTATAATTTTTTATATTATTATATAAATATTTATATTATTATATAAACTTTTTTCTTTTTCCAAACAAAAATATATGAGCAGTTTTATTTGATATATTTTTTATAATTTATTTTATACAGTTTTATTTTATATATTTTTTGTATAGCATAACTTTGTGATTTTTTTTTAAACTTTACTATTCTCTGTAAACGATTCTATTATATATTACGAATTTGTAATGATTAATGAACAAAAAAAAAATCTTTATTTAAAAAAAATATGATATTTTTAAATAGCAAAATTAAATTCTATAACTTTTGATATATTAGTCAAATCATTTTTAACATGGTTCAAAATTTTATTTTTAACATGGTTCAAAATTTTATTTTTAACATGGTTCAAAATTTTATTTTTAACATGGTTCAAAATTTTATTTTTAACATGGTTCAAAATTTAATTTAATTATAACATAGTACTTTAAAATACTTTCAAAATATCAATAGTTTTCAGGCACCTGAAACAAACAAGATCTTTATAATTACAACACATTAAAGGCGAAGGGGTTATAAAGTATTTCTAAATTGCTTTTTTTATATTTATGAAGACTTTGTTGTTGTAAAAAAAAAGCACCTTTTTATGATTTCCTTAATTCCTTTTTAAGTATTCTTCACATTTATTTCAAGTATTATTTACATTATTTATTTCAAGTATTCTTCACATTAGTTATTTCAAATATTTTTCACATTATTTATTTCCACTATTCTTCACATTATTTATTTTAAGTATTCTTTACATTCTTTAAAAAATAAGCATTCAATTCAAGTGAAAAAACTGTTATTTATAGTTTATAATATTACTTTTATTTATACAAACTTTTTCTAGTCTACACTTAGATCTATAAAAAAAAATGACTAGATATGAGAGAGCTCTGCTGAATGCAAAATCTTTTGAATGAAAAAATAGCAACAGGCAATTCAATATGTCGATGGGTGACTAACATTAACAAATTAGTTACTTTCAGTCGCCCCTCTGGCAACTGACCAAAAGTCCGAGTGTAGACCCTTATATACACACACACAGATATATATTTTTATATATATATATATATATATATATATATATATATATATATATATATATATATATATATATATATATATATATATATATTATATATATATATATATATATATATATATATATATATATATATATATATATATATATATATATATATATATATATATAATATATATATATATATATACAACATTCATTCCACTTTTGTTGAGAAAACATTTTCTTTTAAAATATATATATATATATATATATAAATATATATATATATATATATATATATATATATAAATATATATATATATATATATATATATATATATATATATATATATATTATATATATATATATACATATATATATATATATATATATATATATATATATATATATATATATATATATATATATATATATATATATATATTATATATATATATATATATACAACATTCATTCCACTTTTGTTGAGAAAACATTTTCTTTTAAAATCTACTCAAATAATAAAATAAATCATATTGGTTAACTTGAGAAAATAATTTAGTTATTTTCAGTCAATCACCAGAAAATCAATTCTTGGTTTCTTCAACTTTGCATTGTTTTTCTTACAGTATAAAAATATAAATAGATTTTATCAATTTTTTCCAGAAATTTCATTATTTCTAAATTAACATTAAAATTTAAAAACAAACAAGAAAATTATATGCAATATAATAAAATATATTATATATTGCATATAATATAAAATATTCTACGCAATATATATCTAATATATAATATACAATAAAAATATGCAATAAATAATTTATAATAATAAATACAATTAAATAAAGTATTAGGGTGTGTCCATTTTAATTTTTTTTTTCAATTTGAAAAACGGCAAGGTTACTTTTGGCGAAGAATTTTATGGAGATTCCAAATCTGCAAAAAAAAAAATTTTTTTTTAATAATTTCTTGCTGGGTGGGTCAGCATTGGTTTGAACGGAAAAATGACTAAAATGTGACTAATTAACAGGGAAAAACTATAACTTAAAAAAAAAAAATTCTAAAATTTTTGATTAACTCAATAAATGTTATGTTGAATCTTAATATCTTTATTAAAACTTACATGTAATTAACAATTTATAAATTTTATTTAAAATTTGCGAACATGGTTTGCAGTTAGTGAATGCATTATTCAAACTCTTTTGTGTTCCAAAGATGAAAAGGAATGAAAGTTAGGAGCAAAAAAGGTGCTAGAAATTAGAAAGGAAGGAGATGATAATATTCAGTTTGGAGAGTTTCAGTAAGAATTCGCAAAACCCCAAGCATAAATACTGATGCTGATAAATTGACTAATCTAATTGAGTGGAAAGATTCAATAGACAAACCACTACTTACCACAAGCCTCACAACTCATGAAGTCAGAAAATATTTTCACAAGCCTATGGTTGTTCCAGATTGGCCATTCCATTCCCAATCCATCAAACATTGCGTTAAGCAGGTTCCTTTTTTATACTATTACAAGAATATAATAAACTATTTAAAATTTGTTAATGACTAAATTGTTTGTAATGTTAAATATAGGTTACAGAGGTTTGTGTAAAAACATAATTCTATGAGAAGCGAGTAGGATATATAACCAGCAAGAAATTATTTTTTTTTATTTTTTTTTTGCAGATTCAGAATCTCCATAAATTTCATCTTAAAAGTAACCTTGCCGTTTTTGAAATTGAAAAAAAAAATTAAAATCGACACACCCTAATGAAGTATAATAAAGTTAGCAATAACAATAAGACAAAAAAATTTTGAAAATTATTAAAAAGAAACCTTGTGTCCTCCATAAAAAGCTATTTCCTCAGCATTTGTAATAATTCGTGAATGAACAGTTCTTAAATTACCTCTACAAATAGATTCTTCAGAAACAAGTTTGCCAAACTTTGGGGAGCATATCTTTAACAAATGAGCTGTAGATACTGTCACAAATGTACCTAACATGACAGGTTTTAACCATGACTGGCCGCGTTTGTTTGCCATGCTGTTTAAAGAAAAACATACCAATAATAAATCAAGCACTGGCTTTGTTAAGTGTGAATACAAGTGAGATACAGATTCAGAAAACATTCTGATATCCTCAGTAAGACATTCATCAGGAGCAGATAAACGAGAATCAAGATTCCCAATTTTGTAGTATGTTTGTTTTTGAAAGTAGAGCTCATAACCATATTTTACTAAACGAGTTCGGAAAGCCAATGCAAGTTTACCCTCTAAATACTTCAGCAGAGAATTAATAAAGGTTGCCGGAATAGAAACACCAATCCATTGCAAAAGCAAAGATATAAATTTGAATAAGTTTTTCTCGACAATGCATCTTGCTAATTTACCATCTAACTTTGCTACATATATTGACAAAAATGCTCTTGTTATTAAAGCTATAGAATGGATTGATAATAAGCCAAACTCTTTAGTTTTTATACCAGGGAGTATTATTTTTAACAATTCTATTAATTTCTCCAGAAACAACTTTTTATTAGTAACTTGTTTTTGCTTGAAATTCTCATGTTTATTAGTAACATTTCTCTCAATGAATTTTGAATAACTGTAAGTTAATGCTCGATATGCAACATAAGCACCTGCCGAAACAACAAAGGCTTTTGGCATAAAACTTCGAGATTTAGTAAGATTTTGAATAAAGTTTTTTTCTTTTTCAGATGTAAACACTGCATTCATTGTAGTATCTAAACATAACTGCATGTAAATACCTATTAGTTGATAAAAGGCAGATTATCATTACAATCATTATCATTGTAATAATGTATGCACTTATTTTAATGGATTTAGGTGTTTACTATACTAATATATTTTATACATTCCAAATTTCAAAATACCATTTTTATTCCAGACAAAGAAGAAATAATCAAAGAACAATATATATTAGCATGTGCATATATATATATATATATATATATATATATATATATATATATATATATATATATATTTTTTTTTTTTTTTTTTTTTTTTTTTTTTGAGCTGGAATAGCTCAGTTGTTTCTCCATCAGTTAGTTCATCAGGAAGATTCTTCCTGATGAACCAACTTATGGAGAAACAAATTGTTGAAGAAAAATTTAGATGTTAAACCCTGCAATAAGCTATCAGCTGGTTAAAAGTAAAACTGTTAAACCCTCCAATAAGCTATCAGCTGGTTAAAAGTAAAACGGCAGTTTTTAACACAAGCTATAAAATAAACTCGTATCCTTATGTCTCCGTTTAGTTAACAGCAAGAAAAAAATTAGTTATGAGAAGACTGTTAACGCCAAAATTTAACCCTGCTTTATCCTTTTATTCAAAGTAGAGGTGTACCGGATATTTTTCCCAGATATTGAACTTTTCTAAAGTTCTATAAGTGTTTATGAAGAAAAAACAAGTCTTGCCATTCTACATTAAATAGTGTTCAAGATTTAAAAAAATAAAATCAAGAAAAAACTGGTATAAAAATTTTTGTTTTGTTTTAATTACTATTTTCTATACTTTGTCAGCACATATATACTATATCATACAGTTTTTCACTGATTTTTTAAAGTAAGATTTTGAATATTATTTATTATAGACTAGCAAGACTTGTTTTTTCTTCATAAACACTTATAAAATTTTAGAAAAGTTCAATATCCGGCATATCTGGCAAAAATATCCGGTATACCTCTAGTTAAAATTTCATTTCAAAATATTTTTAATAATTAGTTATCAACTTCTTAAACAGAAAGGCAGTACAAGGTACACAGTGACATAACTCATTTTGAAGTTAATATATAGTTTAAACACTAGGAGAATAAACCTCCGAAAAAGAAGATCGTGATTTATTGAAATGTGTCACAATAAATTTACTCGGTTTTAATATTTGGATCCATTTGCAACATTCAAAGAAAATAGAGTTATGAGAAAATGTGTAATCCATAAGAGTTAAATCCATAAGTACAAAATTTAAAAAAATGAAATTAAATAGTTTAAGTTTTCTAATGAAATTAAGTAGATACAAACTCTTTGAATTTTTTTTTTATTGTAACAAGTTTTAAATAAATTTAAAAAACTACTCAGCACTCATTATTTAAAAAATCACTGACTGTGATTTACAAAATAAACAAAATCATCGTCTTATGGCATCGCAACATTTAGATGCCGTGACAAAACAGCACAAAAAATAGTTAACGGAGTTGGTTAACAGTGGAATTTCAACTAAAAAAATTATTGAAGAAATATAGAGAACCTAAATGGAAGGATTAGAATATCATTTACTTTCCTCTGTTTTATAACATTTAGAGTTTTTTTTTTAACAAATGCTTAAACTTTCCATTAGTTTAACGAAGAGATATAAATACAACTGCTATTCTTTAAGAACATTGAGCACTCTATTGTAGAATAGACACACATAATTTATATATATATATATATATATATATATATATATATATATATATATATATATATATATATATATATATATATATATATATATATATATATATATATATATATATATATATATATATATGCAAATATACATTATTCTTTGATTCTTTCTCATTTGTCTGGAACAATAATGGCATTTTAAAAATCAAAATGTACAAAAAACGACAGCACACACCTAAATCCACTTATGTACATCATGGCTTACTAAATTTTCAGGCTGCAAAAATTTGCAAGCTTTTTTTATCAAAAAGAGTTTTCTTTTTTTCTTTTTTAATAAAAATTGAGTAAATTAAATAATTAATTAAATAATAATTATCACAAAATAATTTATGAAACAAAAGATTAACTAAATATCTAAAACAGAAAAATTGTTTGGTGCTAAAAGAACTTTATGAAAATTATTACTAATTATAAAGTATATAAGATTAAAATTAGTTAAAAATATATATGTGTGTATTTTTAATAATATATTATCTATACATTTTAACTTTTTAACAAATATATTAGTTCACCAGGCAAATTTAACTCAACACAAGATGAAATAACTAGTGGTAAAAAAGTTTAGTGTTGCTAAATTTTTTTTTTGCTATCTCAAAATCATAAACAATCTAGCTGGTAGATCAGAAAAAATGTATAAATGGCATGCATCCAGAATGTTATGATTTTTTTTTTCTTAATCTCTTCCCTTCCAACAAGACTGCAAGCAACCATTCAAGTTAAAAGTTACTTAAAGAAAAAAGATCAAGTTTATCAAGCAAGATTGCAAATTATAAGAATCAAGAAAACAAGATGAAGGAAGCAAATTCCAAAGAACTGATGTTCAAGGAAAAAAACTAGACAAATAAGAGTTTTTGGAGCACTTAGGAACAGTAACAGAAAAAGGATGAGACTTAATTGAATGACGAGTAACACGAGAATGAATTTTAGTAGATGGCACAAGAGACGCTAGCTCTTTAGAGCAGTACCCATTATAGTATTTGTGGAAAAGAGAAAGAGAAGCAACATTACGACGATGTGACAGAGGTTGAAGGTTGGCTGCAAGAGCAGGTCCAACTATGTTTACAATGTGTTTTTGCACCTTGTCTACAAAAGATAAGGGCACCATTGGACAATCCTCCTCAGATATGGCAACAGTATTCCATACAAGGATGAATTTAAGATTTATAGTGATATATCCCCAGATATGGCAACAGTATTCCATACAAGGATGGATTTGAGATTTATAGTGATAAAGAATAGAATTCTGAGTAAAAAAATAGCGAGCACAATAAAGAGATGCAATCTTAGCAAGTGCTAATTTTGCAATCAAATTGATATATTATTCCCAATTATACAATTAAACATAACTGGGCACTTAAGATTGATGATGCCCATCTATGCCCATCTGATGAAACTATCAGAGATAAAATTTACTATGATGCCCATCTTGAAACTATCAGAGAAGATAATTAGATGTTTGAGGTGACTCAAAATATAATAATATATGCAATATTATAAGACTGAAATCAGGAAAAGTAAATGTATAGGGTGTGTTAATAAAGTTTAAAATGATTTGGAAATATAAATGTTTGGAAATGTTTCCAAAATACCTTAAAATAAAAATGATTAGGTATCAAGATGTAGAAAGTACTTTCAGAAGAAAAACCTATAAGAAAACTAAAAGAGAGAACGTGTAACAGATGACTTATCTTAACTATATGACCCTTTCTGTTATAAAATATGAACACTTAACTCCTATGCATCCAAACCATAAAGTTTTTTTTTACCTATGATCATCATACACAACAATCTAATTACTGCCACTTTTACAGCATGCCTAACCTTCTAATGCCTGAAATTTAAGCATTTTCTCTATATTTCCTTGCATAGGACTGACATGGATATATATATATATATATATATATATATATATATATATATATATATATATATATATATATATATATATATATATATATATATACATATATATACATATATATACATATATATACATATATATATATATATATATATATATATATATATATACATATATATACATATATATACATATATATACATATATATATATATATATATATATATATATATATATATATATATATATATATATATATATATATATATATATATAATTAGCAAAAACAGGTTCTCATAATAAGGAGCTGTTTCTCAGAAAAAGGGCATGTAAAACCTTATCAAACAATAACAAAAAAACAAGAATTCAAAAAAAAAATCAGATATTACATTGTGCATAAATAAAATAAATAATAATTAGAAATGGTATTAATTATTGTATACTATTAACTATTAGTAAGCTACTTATAACTTTATAATTATTCAACTATAGTTAAATTTAGCTAAAACTATTCAATTATATTTCAAGTCAAATTATTTTTTAATTATGTGCTTTATATCATGAGGCTGGATGAAAGATTAAACAGTGGATAAAAAGCTTCGTTGCAATAACTATGAATCAAAAAAAAAATTGAATTTCACTGATGGACATGTCTCAAATTTTGATATATTTAAGGAAATTTATGGTTTTTTCAAATACGTGGAAAGACAATTAATATAAATTTTTCAGAAAACATTTTTTGAACCAATACAAATTTTTTAAAACTTAATCCAACATAACAGTTTTTCTATGAATAAAATAAAAGTGCACAATATTATTAACACCCTGCTTTAAAAAAAAAATACTTGTGGTTTCTTCACTGAAATAAATTTGAACTTGTATAATATAACCAAATAATAAATAATTGTATAAAATAACCAAAATTTTCAACTATTTTTTAAGGGATATAGACTACACATCTTTTTTGGAGTTAGAAATTTCAAATGATAAAAGATTGTTGTTCAATGCAATTTTTTAAATGATTACTAGATGTAGTGAAAAAAAATACAAAACTTTTATTTGCTTAATGTATTGGTAAACCTGCTATTATATCAACAGCAGAAGCAATTTAAAATGGTATTTGTAGAAAATAATAAATTTTATAATATACAAGATAAAGTAGACTTTAGACAATATAATAAGCAGTGAATTTTGATGATTATACAGCTTTCTTTGTCGTCACATTATTCTCTTTACTAACACATATAGATCAAATACTTATAACGTATAAGCATTTGTAATGATATCTTAAAAAGAAAAAAAATTTACCATTTGCAATTTTTCATTTTTAAAAATCTGAATCTTAGATATAAAACATTGTGGTATTACAATTGTTATAACTTCCAAAAATAATAGGATAATTTTTATGAGTGTTTTTAGTAATTTTAATTTTGTGTACAATATTAGCCAAAATGAGCATACTGGGTATGTAATTTATAATAGTCTTCCTAATAGTGACTGTGTATTTTTTGAAAACATAAACTTTACATGGTATCTAAAGTTTTTCAATGTTAAACCCTGCATGTATACACACAAACACACACACATAATGTGTGTGTGTGTGTGTGTGTGTGTGTGTGTGTGTGTGTGTGTGTGTGTGTGTGTGTGTGTGTGTGTGTGTGTGTGTGTGTGTAAATAAAAAACTGAAGTTGTAACAAATGTGTCACGTTTGTTACAACTTCTGTTTTTCATTGTGTGATTTCATTTTAAATTAATTATTATATACATAGTACCACAAATGCAACGATTTCTTGTACAATATAATGCTATGTTCAACAATTTAAAATAATAAGCGTTCTTCCATATTTCTATTAAAAATTTCGGATGTATTATTTTAAAAGATCTTTTTTTTACTTTTGTTATACTTTTTAAAAGTACAGCGCGCTTTTTTGTTGATAAATAATATATTATTAAATATTTATTTGACTTAACTAATACGGTAAATCAAAATCCGAGTCTTCTTAAACCGGAAATAAATTCCGAAGTATTTCTAAATTTTAAAAGAGAATAATGAGATTATAGTCAAGTACTCTGTTAAATTTTTTCAAGATTAATTGAGAGCATTAAAGATATAATTAAGAAATTGTAATATGTAATTGAGAAATAAAACATATAATTTAGAAATTGCAATATTATAATTTAGAAATCTGTTTTATACCAAAATATTGATTAAAGATCAAATCAAAAAAACTTTAACATGAAGGTGACAGTCAATTAAAACTGATGGTCAACTTAATATAAGAAACTGATTGTCAACTTAATATTAGCGTCAGCACAACAACAATCGCCTCGATTAACTTAAAGGTGGATTGTTTTCATTGAAAAATGTGCACAAGGAGCCATCTGCAACAAATAGTAGTAAAAACAAATTAAAAAGTTTTTCGTTTTTCAAATTCAAAACCACTTCTAAGAGAAATGAAAGTCTTAAATATATACGAACTAAATGATTATAATATTTTATATTTCATGTTTAAATGTAAAAATCATTCATCTCCTGATGAATATATAAACCAATTAAACCTTTATAATGTAAAACCCATAAACAAATACAATCTTCGCAATTGAATCTACAAGAACGTTTCTGCCAAACTAAATTTGAACAATTAATTATTTCTTATCGCGGTCCTTATTTATGGAATAAAATAGTTTTGCCAAATTTTGATTTTTTATTGAAATGGGCTTTACCTTCTTTCAAACGAAAATTAAAAGAAGTTATCTTTTCAGCAGAAAATATTTTTTCTTGTTTTTAGTTCTTTTGTTTCATATATTTCATATAATTTATCTAGTATATTTATATTTTAAATGCACAGTTATATATAGTTTACGTTGATTTATTTTTATTGGTTATTTTGATTTTATTGTAATTTTTATTATATTTGATATTGTAAAGGGCTTCATGATAAGATCATATGATCTTCTGGAAGTCCTGTCGATTATATTTCTAATAAAGCTATTCTGTAATTGTAATTTCTTTCATAGAAGGCAAATAAATTTACAAAAAAAAAAAATAATAACAAAAATCTTAGTATCATCAAGGATCACCATATCACAAATGGTTGTCAGAATTCTTTTTTTTATCCAATCAGGTTATCTGATCGGACTTTTTACAAAAAAAAATTAAACTTTTTTTTTGTAAAAAAAATAAAAGTCGTCATCATAGAAACTTGTAGAGGATCATTAAATGATTGGTTGTAGTCGCAGACAATGCTTATAGTCACGGTCGTTTGGAACAAAGTTCTTTGTTCTGAGTATATATATTATATTATATTTTCTTTTTACCACGCAGTAAATGAAATTAAAGGTAAAATACATTATATTAAAAGTACTTTATAAAATTGCAACCAGTAAAACTTTCAAAATTGTTAGCCTTAAGAACTAGCTGTTCTTAAGGCTGTGTGTTTTTTACACTTAATTGGTTTAGTGTTTTTGGAACATTTTCCTCCATCAAAGTTTTAAAAATCACTCTTTATTCTTTTAAGTTCCATAATTGGAACGATTATTTTAATACTGCTGCAACGCCCGTTGCTAGATCATAGACCATCAACGCCCGTTGCTAGATCATAGACCATCAACGCCCGTTGCTAGATCATAAAACATCAACGCCCGTTGCTAGATCATAGACCACCAACGCCCGTTGCTAGATCTTCCATAGTTTGTATAAATTTAATTTTTTTTCCTTCTATGATACACTAGAAAAAGTTTAAACCAAGAGTTGTACATGTAGCAATCACTTAATGTGTAAAAGATTATTTTTTGTGTTGCCAGTAACTGCTTCAATATCAGTGAATAGCAAGTTTGATTTTTTAAAAGCCTGATAAATAGATTTACTTTGTTTTTAAGTAGAATAGTTGAAATATCATCTGTTTTAAAAAACGAATTGATGCAGTTTTTTTTCTTCTATATTTTGAGATACACAAAAAGATTTTAAAACTGCTCTTTCAATAGCATCTATGTTTCTATGAGAACTGGTGCTAAACTTGCATAACTCAAGTCCATATGTAAGCTTAGGAACTGTTAATGAGTTATATAAACGAATAATTATTGACGGCAGGCAAAAATGAATTACACTGTCGATTAGAGCTATTGCAACCAATTTAAACTGATTTGTTCCCTCATTTAAGTTTGTTTTTTGAAGTGTTGCAATTTTGTACTTATTGGTATTATTGTTCCATAGGAAACCTAGATGTTTTAATTTATTTTGAAGATATAAGGTATTGGTAAGTGATCGCTTAAGTTAAATGATAAAGGGTATATAACTTATATTCATAAAGAATAATGATGACTCTTTTAGTGCTGCGATATGATCAATATAAGTTAGAGAGATAGAGAGAGATATGTTGATAGGTGTATGTTGGACCAGAGCCACTGATTATATATATAAGCGAGAGTTTAATGAGAGGCTTAAAGAATTTATTGCGTGATTTGTTATTACGATACACAAAGTCAAAGATCTTTTCGAGATAAACATTTACTTATATCTTCATGGTTTTTTATAATTGACGTAATAAGGTTTAATTGTTGCGCATACCTTGTAAAGGATTCCTTGTTGTTTCAACTTGATGTAAGGTAAATACCAATAAAGCTTAAATTTAGACACTTTTCTTTACCTTTTATAGCAAAAATATTTTCAACTTCATAAATTATGTGAGGAGACGAGAAAAAAAAATGGTCTCCTGTATGTTTTTGTTTTTTTTTGCAGCATGAAAAAATACTTTATGTATTATACTTTAAAAATACTTTATGCAATTCCTCCTATAATTGAATTCCCAACACATTTAAGAAAAAGTACTTATCCTAAAAAACCACCAGAAAACAAACAAAGTTTTATTTCAAATAATATCACCAATGATTCAATACAGTAAGTCTAACGTAACTAATCCCTTTGCAATGGCATATATTGATTTAAAATTTTTAAGTTTAACTTGGGCTGATGTTTTTTCTCTCTCAGCTGATAAATGGGCCTCCTAAGTAACCTCCAGAATTCAGGCTGGAATAGAAGCTTTTATTCCTTCTCGTCGGTTTCAAGTCAAGCCTCATTCTACTCCATGGTTTTCTCCTTCTTGTGCGGCTGCTATATCCAATTGTAATCATTTTTTTCATCTTTTTCAAAGAAACAACTCTCTTGAGAACAAAAGGCTATTTATTATTGCAAGAAATCAATGTAAAAAGGTGCTTTCTGATGCTAAACTCCATTATTCTCAGTTCACTAAATCTCGCATCTAATCACAGAAGTTAGGCTCTAAAGATTTTTGGAAAATCTTCAACAGCATTATTAACAAGGGTAGATCTAACATTCCATCTCTCATTCATGGGACTGATCTTATTACCTCTCCCAAGGATAAGGCAGAACTATTTGCAAAGAACTTTTCTTCTGATTCCACTCTTGAATCTTATGGACATTCTCTTCCTTCCATTCCAGTCAAACAGGTTGACCCATTGTTAGACATTCAAATCACTCCGGCTTCTGTTGCTAAAGTCATATCTCAGTTAAACTCGTCTACAGCTTGTGGTCCAGAAAACATTCCTGTCACAGTCTTGCAGAATTGTTCTCCAGAACTTTCTTCAATTCTCTCTAAACTATTTAACAAGTGTTTGACTGAGTCTTGTTTTTCTGTTTGTTAGAAAATGACATCTGTGGTTCCAATATTCAAAAACTCCGGAGAAAATTCTGACCCCTCCAATTATCGTCCGATCAGTCTTCTTTCTGTTATTAGCAAGGTCTTTAAGTCTTTGATCAACAAATTCTTCCCATCTTATCTTGAGTCAAATAAACTACTGTCAGACAATCAATACTGTTTTCGATAATCTCGCTCTACGGCCGACTTGCTAACTGCTTTAACTGAAAGATTTTATCGTGCATTAAATGGAGGCGGTGAGGCTAGGGCTATTGCTCTCGACATATCTAAAGCTTTTGACAAAGTTTGGCATGCTGGTCATCTCCATAAGCTTGCTTCATATTGCGTTTCTGGGAAAGTTTTTGAGATTATCAAATCATTTCTTTCTAACCGGTTTATTTAAGTTATCCTTGAAGGCCAACACTCTTCTTTATTTCCAGTAACTTCTGGGGTTCCCCAAGGTTCCATCCTGGGCCCTGTTTTGTTTCTTATCTACATAAAAGATCTTCCTGACAACCTTTCATCTAAAGTAGCTCTTTTTGCTGACTCAACTTTATACTCCTGTCTTGACAAAAAGTCTTCTCTTTTCGATCGCCTAGAACAAGCAGCTGATCTTGAATCCGATCTCACTTCAGTAATAGATTGGGGTTCACAGTGGCTTGTGAATTTCAACTCTAACAAAAGTCAGTTATTTACTGCAAACAACTACCGTAATATGGTCAACATTCCTATATTAATGAATGGCAATCCTCATACTGAGTCCTCCTCTTTACGTCTTCTTGGATTATCGCTTACTACTGACCTTTCATGGAAACCATATATACAATCGATTGCTAAATTAGCTTCTGCTAAGGTTGCTTCTCTTTATCGTGCTCGCCATTTCCTTATTTCTGATTCCTTTCTCTACCTCTACAAATCTCTTATTCGTCCCTGTATGGAATACTGTTGTCATATTTGGGCTGGTTCTTCTAACGATTCACTTTCTCTTCTTGACAAGGTCCAAAAACACATTGTAAATGTTGTTGGATCTGGACTATCTGCTAAGCTTGAGCCTCTTTCCCATCGTCGTAAAGTTGCATTTCTTTCTCTTTTCTACAAATACTATCATGGTCACTGCTCAAAGGAGTTATCATCTCTAGTTCC